AATCATGTCGTATAAGACGGCATTCACCAGTGTGCTTCTCTTTATTTCTGGAGATGTGATCTTGAGAGTGCACCGTGTGCCAGGGAACTTTTCCTGTCCCAACATATTTCCAAAAGTAAACTCGGCCCGTTGGCTATTAATTTAAGATGGAGAGATATGCTATAACATGCAGGCCTGCAGCCCCGGAGATCACCGTCAGCAGCCAAGTATTCTCTCAGGAGGAGGAGGGCTGGCTCAGTCTGAGCCAGCCCTCTGTGTTTCTATACCTAATTTAACCAGGCAAGCTGACAAAAATACTAGTCTTATTTATAATGGTCTGAGGAAAGGGCCTGCGATGGGATGGCGGGACACGTCCAGTGCTTCCCAGCACAACCAATGTATTGTACTAGAAGCTGCTTGCTCACCAGCTCCACTGCTTCAGCTCCGGGTTCAGCAAGAGACACTCCTTCTTGCGCAAGTCTGCCAGCATGCATCTCATGACGACAGTGTTGCAATTAACCAAACCACAATTTACAGTGACTGAAGAACTCGGGCGCTCACCTCAAGCGGTTTTCAATCTCATGAAATAAGTCTAATGAATGCAATGAAAACTATATTGGCCAATAAATAAAATAAACCAACTGTGTACTTTTTGCTATTTGGCTCCTTGTTTTACTGTTGGCCCCGGCTTCAGCGCTGCTGGAAGGGCTTCCCTGCTCATCAAATCGGTATTTTGTTTTTCATGCAAACACAATATTTCAGCAGTTGAGGTAGCGCAGGTAGTGATGGTGTGTGTGAGACGTTTTAGCCATGGTGTGTGTATGGATACACTGCGTTTTAAAAGGTTTAAGTGCGTAGAGAGTCTTATGATTATCCCCTGGAGGCATCTGGGCATGTATGTTTATGTATGCCAAGGGTGAAGGAAATGATTGGACAGGCGTATTACAGTCCTGCTACAGCCACAACACCAGACTATATTTTCTCGTTTGTTTTATTAGAGCATTTGATTTATTGATTGCTGTCCGGATTTGACGAGCATTTCAACAAATATAACGAAAAATATTCTTGAAGAAGATTACCAAATCCAGCTCTAATGGCCAAAACTCAACAAGCATCACTTTAAAAAGGAAAAAAGGAAAATACTCACGAAAAGTAACTCACAACAGTACTTTGCTGCACTCAAGTACAGTGCTTGAGTGCTTGAATACTTGCCTAACCAGAAGCTTCGTCGTAGCGTCTCAATCTGCCTCTCACAACGTGCATCACCTGTAGCTCTGTAGCTCTTTACATCCGTTGGCTCAGATGTTGTCAGTTTTTTTCAGGACTCATCTTACTCACCTCCCTGTTCTCAAACTCCAGCAAAAACCTTTCTGGCTGCAGGATTAGTATGCTGAGATGTGGGAACCGGCAGCAGACTGTGTCAGCCGGCAGCACCTTGAGATGCTGGGAGAGAGGAGAGGATTGTCTGTGTCCAGCAGACTGAGGAGAGCGGACCGGATCTGGAATGAGAGCTCTCTCCTGTGTAATTGCTTAACTTTTCCGTGTACTACCACACATGCACTACTTGGGTACATGAAAGATTGAAAATGAGACCAAAAAACCCAACTTATTTCTTTGCGACTGCATGGCGTACTGGCATAGAGAAGGAAGTGAATGAGTACAGGGAGAGACGCTGAGTGCTGGGATCAGGTTCCCTCACCGGCTTACTTTCACCTCTAATAGAGCCATTGCCATTCCACAGGGGGGGAAGCGGTGCGTTCCCGAAAAACAAAGCCCCCGCTGTGCGCGTACAGACCCCCCAGAGTGAACCCAAACCGTACACGCAGTAATGGGCTACTTTGAGAGTTTATCTGGCTCTAATAGACACACTTGCTCCCGGCCTCTAAATCTCCAGGATAAGTCTGTGTGTACGGAAAATGCTGTCATGCCCTAATGTGGCTGACAAAGAGCACAGCAGTGCAGCCACTCTGAGCCTTTCCTGTTCAAAATTGTAATCTGCTACTGAGAGTGTGTAGTTGCGTGTCGCAGGGGGAAACAGTGGATTGAGAGCACAAGTCTTATGTATCTGTGACTGGTTGAGCAGATCAGGGATCTTAAGTATTTCGTCATTTGTAACTTAGCTTGGCCAATTTGTTATTAATATAGCAAAAGTATGCCTCTGCTGCCTTCAGGGAATAACCACACACTCTAATGCAACCCTACAAATTCCTCTCCATCTTTTTCAGCATAGTCCCCCCTCAGCATCCCTCTTGATCTGGCACGCAGCAACGCAGTCTCTCCCTGCATGTCTTTCCAGGCTGGTTGTGACCGGGTGTTTGCCTGGCACCAGCCTCAGTCCAGGGGCCTGCTGGTCTTGTTTTCACAGCCGGCCTGACCCCCAGGGCAGTGTAGCAGCCGAGCTCAGTCCGCTGCCATTATACGTCCTCTATCAACATTTCATTGGAGCACAATGCCATGTGCCTCTGCCTGAGGCTACAGTTGACTTTGGGACTGAGCTTAGAAAGGCTGATAGAAAAGAGAATGATGTCTAATAGCTGAACATTTTTTTCCTTCTTTCATTCTTTATAATCTGTTATGCTCTATGTTCGCTAAAATTTGCATGGTTAATGGGTCATTTATGGTGTGAAAGCAAACGGACCAACCAAATTATTTGGTAACAATTATGCATGTGATCAAAGATATTTGAGCTAAAGTACATACATTTATCACATCACAAACATTTAAGTGCTGCATAAATCAGAATTTGATTTCCCCACACCGGTTCTGCTGATGCCGGATGACAATCGCCAAAACTGTCCAATCATGTACACAGTATAATCAACTAGTTACCTGTCAGTCTGCATAACTTCATGTTGACTCTTCTCGGTTTGTTTGTAAAAAGTCAACGTGAACAGGAACCGGATCAGAAAATGCAACATTGTATTTTTTATTTCTTCCTTGATGAACCAAACTACGTGTGTGAAAGCACCCTTACACTCACAGTAAGAGGTTGCAGCAGTTTCATTTCTTCTGTTATCAGAAGGCTCAATGGTATTCAGGCTTCAGCCCGAGCTTCATATGTAAAACCTTGCAGCGTCACTCAGCTCTGACTCATTCTTTCATAACAACAGACTGAGGTTTTCTGCATAGTTCGATTTCTGCAATAACACCTTCATCTAATAGGCATAGCTCTGCGTGATGTAGTCTACATTACAATTAGGTATGGAGGATAAGGTGTGAGGAAAGATGTTTTTGCTGGGATGTAGCATTTGGACATGCTGTAGAGTACGCTCGGAACAGAATATGGGAGTTATTGCATGATTACGAGATTAGATGACATATGTGTTTTGTTTCTTAATGTGCGGCTCTCTATGGGGAGTGTTGTTGCACGGCACTGTTCACATTCTCTCGTCAGCTGACGGATGGTCCCGTCCCGCTACTCTCTGACAACAAACACACACACACACACACACACACTGAGGAGTTGCTGACAACCTGCTTCAGGAAGGGCTTCGACTGGCCCTCGGAATGTGCGTGTGTGTACAATGCAAACTTATCCGGTGTGTTTCACTCTATCGGCACGCACACATAAACACAGCTAGCGTGTATGGGGACTCATCATTCAGCTTAAGTCTCCAACACAAATAATCACAGGGTCCGACCACATGTTGCATGTCCTCTGCCGTGGGCTCCGACAGCTGTCAATCACCTGGCTGATCCGTAAACATTCCTCTGGTGGGCACAGTTATTAAATCAAACTGTACAAATATAGCAAATCTAATGCTATTAATCTTTGCTTATTGACATAACCCCGTGTTAAATTTAGATCTGGCAGGAAAGACCGGTAATACCGGATTCAGTAGGGAGTCTGTTTGAAAAGGTCTCGAGATGGTGTTTATTTTAAGTCGCAGTGGTGGACATGTTGATGGCCTTGCATGCCTTGGTGTCCAGACCTCTTCCGCAGCACCACCTAACAACCTCGCAGGAATGTTTTTCAACAACTTCATTCAACATACTGAACATGACTGCACGTACAGAGCTTGCAAAAAAACGTGTGGTGATTCTTATTTTTACAAGTCTTGGGTATTGCTTTTTAGGTCTGACGCCCCACATTGATTTCACACGGCCTTCCTTTTATTATACACCGGCACGCCTCTGTTCTGATATATCATTTGTAAATAGTGAAACAAAGCTAACCATATTTGACAGTTTATCATCTGGTTTCCCTTCACCACATTTTTGGCTGCTAAATCAACAGGAAAGAACTCGGGTTAACCTCAAAGTGTGGTTCCCTGTTTCAGCTTTCTGTGGTCTGTTGGTTGTAGAATAAAGCCAAATAGTAAAACGGGACTTTCCTGCTGTTTGAGTGAAACCTCTGTGTTTGTCCAACAATATGTGAGGGCCACCCTCCAATGCCTTTACCCTATAGATTGCGGAGGAGTGTGTGTTTGTCTACGGTGTGGCATGGGGCCTTTGCTGTCTTAGCAGTGGCCTCTCTGCCCTGTCTGTACGTAGTTGCTGAACCAAGGAGAGTATATCAAACAAACACTCCAACACAGAGCTATAGGAAGATCGGGTTACTCTCGACATGAGAGGACTAGTTGACTGCATTGTGTTACCAAAGGCGCTGACCTTCAGGGTGCAGGGTCCAAAAAGGGATGAAGCTGTTTAAACCTAAACTCAGTATATGTGTATTTCCACATGGGGTAATCTGTAGTAAACATATCTATAAGTCAGTCTACCGTGTCTGTCTTTTCTGACTTCCGACTGGTAGTAACAGAAAGCCATCGACGACTTTCTAGGTCCTCTGATCCACTCCGGCGGTATTAAGCCATCAACACAGTGTGACAGACACTCAGTAGCACTTGTCTCTAATGTGCGGTGTTAAGTTACAGCAGTGTTGGTGGAAACCCATCAGATAACTCCACGCCGGGTATGCAGGAGCGGCACGAGGAATGTGCCAGTTGTGCACGCATGTGTGTGGGAAAATGTGCATGTGCACCACAGCTGTCATTAATGGGTATATTTGTGTCTCGTCACAGAGCTGAGATCCACCGGTACTGCTCATCACTTCGCCTACCTCCTCAACACATCCGACTACCGGATCCTGCGTATGGACGAGGACCATGACCGTATGTACGTTGGCAGCAAGGACCACATCCTGTCCCTGGACCTCCATGACATCAACAAGGAACCGCATATTGTAAGACTCTGGCTGTTACACTGCAATGAAACAAGCGCCTTTACCTCAGCGCCACAAGGGTAAAATGTTCTGTTCTAGGGTTCCAGCAGCAGCCATGTTGGTTAGCTCACATCTAGTTTTTCTTGGAGTACACTTTTTTTTTCTGGTTTCGGGTCATTAAAACACTGTAATTGGGTTATGACAATCCCAAAAAGTATAATATTGGCCTGGGTGGATATCCCTTTTGCCGTTTTACCCTAAAAATCTCATAAAGGCCACTGATGTACTGTATATTCGGTTGGATTCTAACTGTAAAATGTCCTCTGTTCCCCCGTCGCAGATCCACTGGCCGGTGTCCGAACGAAGACGGATGGAGTGCCTTGTGAGTGGGAAGGACGCCAATGTAAGTACGCCTGTTGACAGCGCTTATAAGCTCAGCAGGGTCGTTCAGCTCAGGTGATTTCCATCAACTTGATGGGCTAAAAAAAGAAGAAAGTATGTCGCTTTTTAAAAGCATAGCCTGAAAAGTATACAGCTCCCTTCATTTTTCACAGAGGAAAAATCACCTGCGAGGTTCAAAATTGGCCCAGTAAAAGCGCTGGTTCCCTTCTGTCTCGCCAAGGAGACAGGAATGGATTGAATCTCACCATCCTCCTCTCTGCCAGGCCAGGGTGGTGAGCACAACACCACTGGCAGATAATTTGATATACCCAGTATTACTGGTTTATTTTTACCACTTAGACGTGAGCATTCGGTAAATCTGCAGGAGGTGCACCGGTAAAATATGGCTACGAACGGCTTTTCATTTAGATGTTTATTGCAGGTTAATTGACTCTGGTCTTTGTGTCTCCAGGATGAGTGTGCAAACTTTATCCGTCTGGTGGAGCCATGGAACCGGACTCAGCTGTACATCTGTGGGACAGGAGCCTACAATCCAGTCTGTACCTTTGTCAACCGCGGACGCAAACCTCAGGTTAGTATTAAAGACTTGAGTAATGTACAAGCCAAGCAGGTTATATCTCAGTACATCAACTCAGCAAAAGTAAAACAGCTTTCTCCCTCTGCATCATGAATGGCATAACGTGGCCTATTTTCTTTTTCCTCTTACCCAAGCTCCCGCTCTCCATCCACCTTACGCTAGGTTCCCTTTACAATTTTCCTCCATCATTAAGCCTGCTTGAGGTACTATGTCTCCGCGTCTGGCAAAGCAGCCAGCACAGCTTCACCAGCGCACAGCCGTCATCCCCAGTGAGCTGTTAAAGCTGCTCTGTTTAGTCTCAGCCTTTTAATGGGACCTCTTGAATTTCCTAAACCAAGCCAGGCATCGCCACCTCGCGTTACTCCCCTTTAACACCTCACTCTTCCTTTAAATATCACACTTGTTCCCTAATGATGACCAGGGGAGTTTTTAAAAGGGGATAAATAAAAAGTAAATTTCCCATTGGACTCTCCCTTGAGATATACAGTATGGGGCAGAAAAGTTGCAACGGCAAGCGCGACTTTGCATGAGTCCCCTGTTGCATGCGGTTCCTACATGACCCTTCACTAACGAAGGGCTTCCATCCATTCCCTCACCTATCCATCCACCCCTTCATGCATCCAGGCCACCCGCCAGCCTCTGCCATGTGAGACGTTGGGTAATTGGAAGTGGGAGCTCCCATTATGGGGTGCCAGTGGAATGTTCCAGTTCTAGTCCATTAATGAGAGGGCTGTTTCTTTCTCCGTCACATTGAACGGACAGGTCCGGCTCCCCCCGTGACCACCTTTCCTCTGCTGGGCTGGGGAGTTGCAAAAACATAATACGATGCACTCTACGCCAACGTATGCACACACAAATCCATGTTTTTGTCTTTTTTAATTCCACATTCAGACAGATTGTTGTAATTTGATTACCCTACTGCAGGGTATATTGTTAAGTTCCCCAGTGCTTAAAGTAGGAGCCGTGTAGCTTTTGTAAACGGTCAAAGCCAAATGTTTAGCTTTGGCAGCAGCTTTGAGGGGAATGTATGTAGCATACTGTGAGAGCCTTTATTGACTTAACCGCAGGATAGGGCACCATCTGGTCAAATAAAGCTACACATTCTCCCTGCAAAATCTTGCACACACACGTCTATATGTTCCTCATGCACTTCCATACTATTATTTTCAGTAGTATTGGTTTGGGGAGTTTCCCACTCTGCCTTGAAGTCAGGAAGGATTCAAGAGATACAAGTTGAGGTCGGGGAGGCCTGACCTCTTCAGTGGCGTAACATCCAGACTGTGCTACTGTCTCCTGTTTTTAGACGTCCATGTATCTGCAGATGGCCCAGGCCAGAGGAAGGGCTAGCCGCGCAGCTGAACCCAGCGCGGTGCACGACACACTTGGACTCAAGGTGCGATGTGGGCCCTGTCTGCACCGCAGCCCTGCACAATGCCTGGGCTCGTGGTCACCGGCAGCATGCTCCCTTCTCTTTGTGTCAGTGCACATTTTGTCACCACCACCATCCTTAACTTGGCCACCACTCGTTTATCTCCGTAACATTTGGCATGCATCTCTTCCAGTCCGTGCACAATCTTAAAGTCTTGTGTAATCTGGGATTGCATTTAATGTCATCTCATTTAGTTTCACCCATTTTCTTTCTTTGTGTAATCATCATCGTCTGATCACCCTTTTTTGTATCCGTCATTGTCCATTTGTGCTTTGCATTTGTGTTAAATGCCATATTTTGCATGAAAGCGGGGTTTTCAAGTGGCTATTGCTTCTCGGGCTGCTACAAAATTCTATTGACTTTTGCTCGACTCAAATTCAATTAAAAACGCTTTCACTGCTGTTCAATGCATGGCATATTCATTTTAATTCAGCATATATTTAGCATCGCCCACGAACAACAGATAAGCGAGTCATTCATCCCGCTTATCTGAGACAATGCAGGATGTCCCACCCATCAGCCTTCACCGCAGCGAGCCCTCCACCTCCTGTAGGAATGTGGTGCAGTCTCTCCCACAGAGGCGGCAGGACTAGTCAGCATCTGATTCGACCCACTCCCACAGCGGGCTTTGTTAGCCCAGAGCAAACACCAGCCATCTGTAGCCAACTAACTGTGCAGCAAAGGAAATAAAAGAGCCACATACTTGAACATGTATTTGTTGTTTGAGCTCTCCAAGCACTTTGAAACACAGAGAGGGTCTCTTGTAGGACATAAAGGTTTTAGGGGAAGTGTGGCAATTTAAAAAATGTTTGAAAAGTTTTTTTTTCCCCGGTCAAATTTTATTTTAAAATATGTTGCACAACTTTTGTGAAGGGTCATATTTTACAGCAGGGTTGTAAAAACATGCTCAGGCCACAGATTCCCTCTGGTACACATAAATGTTTGTGACCTTTTTACACATCGACATCTGGCATGGCTGGGAGTGAGCTGCCAGCACCTCCTTACTTGCACGAGTGGTGATTTTAATCAAAGATGAGTAGGGAATTGCACAAGGCTGCGTGTATGATCCAATGAAGTGAGTTTGGCCCAGTGCCATGTTCTCTCCCCTGCTTTAGAGCTGATGGACAGTGACAGAGATGTCTCCATCTCTGTACCCATTGGGAGTTAAACATGGGGATTGGTCCGTGAGGCGTGGCTACAGGACATGTCATCGCATGCCACTGATTCATTTCCCCCCCCCCCGCTCTCATACGCAAATTCCTGCCAATCACGTCTCCAGTGCGTGCGTACATGGATGCCACTAGCAGTGAGCATCAGACATCCAGCCTCCATCCCAGGTTTGTTTTCGCTGTGCTGGATTACAGGTGTCAGCAGTAGGCCTGCACAGCCATAGGCGCCACGAAGCTGAGAGATATTTGGCATGCAGCTTATTAGCCGAGAGAAGCAGCCCACGAAACATTGTTTTCTGCAGTAGAGTGGTGTAAAGATGGATTAGAAATTCCTTGCTTTGCCCACCGCATGTATTTTTCTGTATGAACGCACGCTCATTATTCTAATACTTCATCTCCCATCAGGCCGTATAGGTCCCACAGGACTCAGAGGGAGCTCATTCGGTGCCTCATTTTCCCTGCACAAGGGAATCACAGTGACAAGATCAAGAGTGCTGAATTTATTGCTGTCTCCATATGATTTTTCCATTCAGGAAGAAATCTTTCATTTGGAGCCGGGCAAAGTGGAATCTGGGAAAGGAAAGTGCTCCTATGACCCGAATCTCAACAGCGTGTCAGCTTTGATCAGTGAGTATCATCTGGGTTTGGTCACATGAGGGCACGGGTATAGAAAGGCCCAGCGGTCTTCATAGCAATGGCAGTGTCATCCCATATGGATTGTGCATCTTTTAACTCCTGTTTCTTTATATGGCCTTCTCTCTGCTCACCATTTATATTTTTGCAGAAGATATTTATCGTCTGCCATCGAAGAAGTCAAGAATTTCAGGCGGAGTGTCCTTTCCATTCTGTGCCTATTTCCCACAGTGAGCTGCTAAGACGAATCAGCATTATCATTATATCCTCAGGAATATTTTCTTGTTCGGGCAGAGATGGGCACATTAATATGTGCCTATTAATATGTGAATCCCTCACTGGGGAATTAGTGTCTTTCAATCAAAATACATAGGACATGTTGGGAAAGCTTTTCAACGCTTTTATCACCATTTGAAGAGTAAAATGATCTTTATTCCCACATGTATACAGTTTTCTTTCCCACAGAGCCTCAAGTACTTGCACATGTGGTAAACATGTACTTACATAGTTTAGTATTATACTTACAGACGGGTAACAAATGAAAGGGAAAAAATGCATAAACGAATAATGAATGCAGACACTTCCCCTGAGGGAACGAGGGGTCGGTGAATGGTCTGATGGGTATGAAAATAATGTGGAAAAAAACATTCAATGAGGAAATATTTTTTGGAAGAATGATGTTCATCCTTCCAAAACCTAAGCGGTTCTGGAGGCTTATAGTGGCCCTACACCTTACAAAGACGCTTGTGTTAGTGTTATGATGTGGGTGTAATATTGGAGTAAAGTCACTGGACCAAAATATTGAAAATAAATATCGTCTACTTTACTTCAGTGATCATTTCAAAGCTTATTGTGTGTTGTAGCATTCATGAAGGCAGTGTCCTCTGTCCCTTTACCCAAGGTCACTTATTCAGCTCCAGACCACACAGTTGCCACCAGTGAAAGGCGATCTCCTCTCTGTGGGGTGAGACAGCGGGTGTAAATCACTGGCAATGCTTTCCCACATTAGCGCCGTGCCAGCTGAACCAGTATGGAACCAGTACTGTCATCCAAGATGGATTTATCTCCCACTTCCACCAGTTAGCATCATACAAGGGCCACTGTAGTTAGTGTTGATAAGGATTAAGACCGCTGTGCCACAACAATAGATTCAGCATTGGCCACTGACTGCTCAGCTCTCCACCACATTAGACATCCCGTCATCCGCAGACGTTTTAATGATGCATCATCAATCTTCATATAGCGTTGATGAGGACCATGACATTGAATATAATGGTGGTAGGACAGTGTTTTTTTTTGTTGTTTTTTTCCGCTCTACCTCCTGCTGTCTGCTTACTCCATCTCTGAGGGCTCTGACAGTCACACCTGCTGTCCGGTGGGGCCCTTACAGCAGCTGGACCAACACCTTACTTTCCTGTGGCTTAACAAGGCTGTTGTATACGTTCGTCAGTTTCCACACATGGATGTGCTCATATTTTATGTCTTTATGGAGTGCGTGCGAAGGCTGTTTCAGGAAGTTTGAGCACTGTTTTTGGTAACGCTTTATTTTTTACGTGTGCCTTAAATTCTTAGTGGTTTCCACGGAAGTATCCCGGAAAGAACAATAACATTTAGGAATACAAGACAATAAATATATTTAATTTAGCTTTTAAGAGAAGAACCAGCAAATGTTAGAGTGGTTTAGTAGTTGGGACGGGTTTCCAAGTGGTTTACAATTAACAATTAATTGGATTGCTCAGTAGTTACCTAGCATTATTTCTAAAGGCAATTATTTCTAATTAGTTTACACTAGCTCGTTACAGATAATGATAGTTGTCATTTCAGCTGACAAAACCCATGTTAGTTAGATTGAGAGAAGAAGCCTGAATTTATTGACCTCTGTGGGAAATCGAAGAGAAGATTCCAAAATGATTTCCAGTAGTTGTAGTAAATCTACCCCCATTTTCATTGTAATGCATCATGTGCCATTGCCATTGCCAGAATGTAAAGCCTGATAGAATGTAAAGCCGGCATAGCACTAACTAAGTGTGGCAGGATTAGTGAATATTAAATCTTGGTCAATTGAACACTTCCATTTTTCCTGTAATTAATATTAAATGACATAGTCCTTTCCAAAAACCGTCCTAACAAATTACAGTTGTATTATCAGTTCCTTTTTCGGACATTTTTGGAAACTATCTTTTGTGTCAGTATCATCCTTACCACTTTGTGTCTAAATGAAATAAATAAGTAGATGAAGAATACAAGTCCTGAGGTTCTAAATATACTGTACATTTTGAAATAAAAGCCTTGTTGTTTTGTGCCAAGGGTGGTGCTAGAATGTCAGAGTCAAGGAATTTCACTAAACTGTTTTCTCTCTTTCTCAGATGGTGAACTGTATGCTGGGGTCTATGTTGACTTTATGGGGACAGACTCTGCCATTTTCCGTACTTTGGGGACAAAGACTGCCATGCGAACAGATCAGTACAACTCCAGATGGTTAAACGGTAAATGTCCTATTTAGCCTATGAAAGATACTCAGGGCTTCCATCCAGCTTATGAAGCCTTCCTGCATGATGTTTCAATATCCAAACATGGTTCCAAATAACCAGCTGAAATGAAAAGATTCTGGTGTTTGCATGTGTTTAGAATCCTTTCACCAAGTTATAAACAGGAAATGCTGAGAGTTTATAAAGGATTCTGGCCAGATGTTTCCCCAAATTCATCCTCCGCCTGAACATCTCACCATCTCTTCTTCCCACAGACCCCACTTTCATTCACGTTCACCTCATCCCCGACAGCGCAGAGAGAAATGATGACAAGCTGTATTTCTTCTTCCGGGAGAAGTCCACTGAGATGGGCCACAGTCCCGTGACCCAGTCCCGTATAGGACGCATCTGCCTGGTGTGTACACAGTGAGGAGCGTGTTTGTTTTGGGGTGTAAACATAATGAAAAGAAAACCTGCAACAATATGAAAAACAGGCTGGAGGCTCCTGAGGCAAACTAGTGTTTGGCCAACGCTGACATGCTGGAATCCACATGTGTCTTTAACCTTCCTGTCTACAATGCATCCCTCTGTCTGGGAGGTTGCCCTCTGACCTCTGACCCCATGATCTTCTGACCTCTTTTCCCTGGTAGTCCCAAAACACTTGAAGCTTTAAGTGTAAATGGTAGCAAATAACTCACTGCCTTTAAAATACTCTCTTTTAGAGTCATTCTCAGTTAAACTAGACTTCCTCCACAGAAGCCTGCGCGCCCTACAAATACAAATCGAGCTGAGTTACAAAAAATAACAACAAATGTCTCTGGGAAGCTTGGGCATCTCATAGTGTTTATACCGTGTGAGTGTATGCATTCCCTTATGGACTTGTGTGCATATGTGAGCATTGCAGCGGGTGTATGAGCACGGGTACAAGTGAGAAAATGTGGCGTACTTGTGTTCGTCGCCTCAGCTGTTCCACTGCTGTAATTATTTGAGGGGGTCAGGTGCTGACCCGGCACACAAACACTCATCCCCCTCTCAGTAGGCTCTGCTGGGGCCTCCAGTGAGCCGGTCCTGTCATTCTTATTTCACCACACATCTGGATATCCTTACTGCCACTCACTGCACCCTGGACACCACCAGAAATACACTCAGCCGTAAACTGTAAATTACCCTGGAAGACATCTTAACTCCCAAAAATGGGAATTTTCAAAAGTGCATGAGGAATGTGAAACCAACATCCACCATTTAAAATATTAAAATATACATGCATTATGGAGGAGGAATCCAAAGCACATACTGGTCTCAGCTCTTTCTTACTTGGGTAGATTCTGGCCTCGCTCCACCACAGATGGAAGAGTCTGAATAGGAGGAGACAGTGTTTACCATCTCAGCACCCTTCCTCTTAGCTTCCCAGCTTTGCAAACCGACATGTACAGTATAGTGTGTGTGGGTGGCTCCACCTGGGTTTGTTTTCAGTAGGAAGACAGAGGAGGATGTGAGTTTGAGTGAGTCATGGAGGAACTGTTCTGTGTCGCCCGCTGCCCTCTCAAATACAGAATGATGATGGAGGCCACTGCTGTCTGGTCAACAAGTGGAGCACCTTCCTGAAGGCCAGGCTCATCTGCTCAGTGCCAGGAGCCGACGGCATGGAGACGCACTTCGATGAGCTCCGTGAGTAGAAAGGCCTTCACTCCTGCAAACTGAGACTGGGCTATGGTTCCTGTTACCATTTTCAGTTGACGTGCTGATCTATAGATTACTTGGTGTGGGTTGGGGGGTGTTGGATAGACTTTGTTGTCAATCAAGCATGCTGTCAGCCAAGTGATGTCTTTTCCCTCAGCTCCACTGCTCCTTTGCCAGATTGCATCCTACACATCTAGCCCTGCAGCTATTTATTGTTATTATCGAATAATCTGCATATTATTTGATCTATTGATTGAGCAATCATTTGGTCTATAAAATGTCAAATTGCTTGCTTTATCTGACCAAAACACAAATATATTTAAGAAGGTATTATAAATGTTTTTTTTTTGTTTTTTTTTATTAGTCAAGAACTTTTTTGAGAGAAACTAAATCTCTTCTTTGTGCAGTTAATCATTTTGACAGTACGTATCAAATGGCAAAGAAAAAAGACAAAAGTGACATGACTGGACTCATTTCAGACATATTCATTTTCAGGCTCCTGTCATGTATGATCACATCTGAAATATTAAGTAGAGAATACTCTACTGCAGGGTCTGTTTCTACTGCAGCACTTGCCAAGTGTGTGCGTGTGCACACACACACACACACACACACACACACACACACACACACACACACACACTGCAGAACTCAGTCCTTGGCCCATATGGCCAGCAGCCCACTCCCATCCCATGGCCCATACAGCGTACTGTCAATGAGAATGACACACATACTCCCACCACTGTCTTTTTCTTTGGAGATGTCTTAAACAAAAGTGTTTTTTTTGTGTGTGTAAAGGAGGGTGGCCTGGTGGCGGGCAGATCAGATCGCGTAGCAGGAATGTCTGTGAGTGTGAGACTATTACCAGGGGAAGCTCTTTCCCTTTCTGTCTCAGTGGTTTAAAATAGTGCCAAATAGTGATAGGGGACTGATGCGTGAGACAACTGTTGCTCTTGAACTAATCTCAAGAATGAAAAGAGCCATGCCTGTTGAATCTGATGATAGTTTGTTTTTTGTCTCTTGATGTCTTGACACATTCCTTGCTTTTATCTCAAACTGCCTGCAGTTCTTAAAAGCATGGCTTTGTTTTTACTGGTGACATTTATTTCATCCCGCTTTGAACAAGTGACAAAGTGACAGGATTGAAAACTTTTAATGTGTGCGGCCACTTTGACTAAATGATGTGAGAATGGATCTGAGTGTGAATGGGCTCACTTTGCCTTTACAAATGAGGGTTCTGTCTTTACTGGCCAGGTAAGTGTTGACATGGGCGTGCAGTGCAGAGTGGGTTTTGTGACAGAGTTGGAGAGTGTTTGGCACTGTTGGGGATTTTGCGGGTAGTGCTCGTATAAGGCTGTAAATGTGTACTAAGGCGGGATCGTGACTGGACAAGGACAGGCATGACAGGGTAGACATGCCCGTAGAGAAGACAGCACATGTCAGTTTGCAGAGCAGCCATTCCTGCCAAGGACTCCTAGAGGGGACAGTACATTTGAAATGATTGAGCTTCATGCTAATGTCTTTACATGTCTCGCTGGAGAGTTTGTGTGTACAGAGGAGATTTTAGAATTCCTCAAGGTCAAATTGGTCTTTAACTATTGCGCATTGAATGCACATTGAATGTTGGTCATTGAAGGAATAGTTGGACAATTCGAGAAATTTGCTTTCTTGCTGAGAGTTAGACAAGAAGATTGATACTACTGTAATGACTTCACTGTCTCCTGGAGCTACAGCCAGGAGACAGTTAGCTTAGCTTACTTTAGCTTAAAGACTGGAGACGGGGGAAACAGTTAGCTTGGCCAAATGTAACAAGATCAACCTACCAGCACGTCTAAAGTTCACTAATTAACACGTTATATATGGTTTATTTGATCTATAAACTGTAAAAAGTTACAATGTTTGCCAGGCTTCCAGTGCCAAGAACCACTGTATGCCTGCATATACCTCCGGGGAAAACCACAAATTGTATTTTTTACATACTTATTGGACTTTTATGGTGCCTGAAGCACAAAGTAGCTTTAAAGGAAAGGCAAATGCATAACCGTAAGACAGTGCTAGGCTAGCTATTTTACATTTTTTCCTGTATCTATGCTAAGCTAAGCTAACTGGCTGCTGGCTTTGGCTTCATATTGCCCGTACAGATATAAGAGTGGTAGCAATCTTCTCCTCAAACTCTTGGCAAGAAAGCTTATAGGCATACAATATTTCCCAAAATGTCAAACTTCTTCAAGAGTCCACATACTTATGGCAAGTCGTAAGGAGAAACTTGTAAGAGGCATTTTGTTATTGTTTTGTGTTGTTAAACTTCACACCACTTGGGGGCGTAGTGCCGCTGTCAATTAGACAAGAGGTTGGTATAATCCGGGGGTTACTTGATACAGCTGTTGCTGACTAGGCAGGAGCAAACCGTTTTTGACCGTGCGATAATGATTGAAGATGAATGTTATGATTTCTTTTGTCTATGATTTAGGAAATAGACTTATGACATTGAAAGTGGCTGTGCTCTGGTTATGTTTGAAATGCTGCAATTGTAAGAAATAAATTGCCTTTATGTTGGAAACTGGATTTTTTGCCATTTATTGCACGTGTCTAAACAAAGCAATCACCAACCGTGGTTGCCTTTTTTGATAGGCAACGGGGTCACTACAGCCCTGTAGATGCATTATACTGCACAGCCAGTTCAGAAAGATCAGTTAGCCATGCTGGACGACCAAATACATTCATAATCCTTCCCCCTTTCTTTAAGAGCTTTATTCAAATGACTCTATAAGTCATTACTGAGAAGTTTGTTAAAATAACCAGACCAGCTGTATTCCTGGTGTTGAAGTCTTTTGCAGAAAGGCATTATGGTAAAGTACGCCTGAGACCTGGGGATTTAAAACATGTGTTCAAATTATTATTTCTTTTACTCAATAACATAAAAGAATGAAAGAAGCTGCTTTTTGGATGTTAAACTGTTTAAAACAAGTCTAATCGAGAGCAAGAGAAAAGCGCCAAATGCAGAAATAATGAAAGCAGAAAATTAAATATCTTTTGAGGAAACGGGATGCATGGGGGCTGAGATTGTATTGCCATTCAAACAGGAAAAAAGGCTGTGGAATATGGAACCTTTTTTAGCTGTTATTAACACACGAGGTCCCCTGGAGCTAGTCATCACTGCCCTGTAAGGATAGCTTTTATTGCAAATCACATAGCTCCTTTTTTCCATGTCTTCACGAAGGCTTGATCTGTTTTCAGGCACTGTATACCGTCGATGATAGCTCTATCTTGGCCTCAGCGGTACCTTGTCTGCATATACGCACACTTACATGTTCTTGCGTGCAAATCGCTCATTTCTGCAGAACAACAGCTGTATGTCATGACAAGGATCATCTGTTGTGTGACACCCATGGCAGCCCCGTCGTGCTGCTTCCAAGCTAACCCATGACCGTTCCACTGCTCCGGCTGTGGCAGCTGTGGAAGATGGCACGGTGGTGGTGTGTGTGTGTGTGCATGTGTGTGTGTTTGTGTGACTTTGGGGAATTTTGTAGGTACTGAGAAATAAGCACAATGTGCCTGCTATCTCGGAGCTTTATCCTTTTCTCCTGGAATGAGCTCAAGGCTGTAGAGAGTCCCCAGAGGGAAGGCTCGACTGAACAGACTCACTAATGTGGACGGGACCAGAACCCCAGCAGTTCAGATTCAAAGACAATGCTCACCCCCTCCATGCATCATTCTCTCTGCATCGCAGCCTGACAGCTAATTTCTCATGCTGGTCTATATGGGACTGCGAGTGCATAACTCTGAATTGGTATATTCTTTTTTTCTTTTTTGCGTGGATCAGTTCTCCTTCTGTTTCCACACTTCACACGAGCTCTAATAGTCATATTTTTAGCTTGATCCCCCTGTCTCTCGCTTGTTGATTCTCTCACCAATCACGTCTTTACTTCGCTGTCATTTCCCTGCACAACTAGGTTGGGAGCACATTCTTCGTTTCTCGCGGAAGGGCCCTTGTCCTATTGTTGGCAGTGAACATGCCTATTGGGACATGTATTTAGGTCAGGTACCCGAATAGGAGAGAGACTTATCACATGTTTCGCTCCTCTCCTTTGTTGCTATGGACCTTTCTTCAGTATTTACAAAAGGCTCATCTAATTCAAGAAGTGTCCAATGTCAGAACGTTCGTGATTTAGAGACCTTCAAAAATTGGCTTAGGAGCATATGATGCAGCTGTCTTTTGGGAGAGAAGAGAGATTTCCTTACCGTCCAAGTGGAAGATATGAACTATGGACGCAGGAAGAGGTGAATCCCTGGACATCGTGTTTCAATTTTCTGTCTCCTCGGGAGCAGTCTCAGGTGGTTCAGCAATCACGTTGTTCCCATCTAAACAGAGAACCAGACGGTTCAGCGCTCTGCTGTTAAATAGCATTGCTCTGTGTTTGACACTTTGATTGGATTGCTTTGTTGAGGTGAGGTGATAACGCCTCTCAAGATTCTGTTGTGAGATGTGTCATCTTGCCAATAAAACCTTCATCTTAGTAACTTTCCTGAGGCCATAGCTCAGTTTCCTGTTGCACCAAGTCGATTGCTGTGGTTTCACACCTACTGTTTCCGTCATCAGAATATGAGAATGGCAGGAGGGCTGTCTGGATAGAAGGGACTCACTTTTTTTCCCCTCTTGTTGTTTCTATTAGACTGCAAGCTAAAGTTTCGAGTCATTTTTCCTCATTTAACTCTAGGAATGGCAATGTCAGACTTTGAGTTGAATTGTCTTTTATGAAATGTGTTGGTACCTGAAATGTGTTACACACATCCTGGCCCCCCTCAGGATGAATTGTAAATATTATTTTAACTTGGGTTAAAAAAACTAAAACAAAAAGTCCCATGAGTTGCGGCTGTGATTAAACTGTTAACATGCTAACACGCTAAATTAAGATGTTAACCATGGTAAACGTAATACCTTCTACACAGCATATCATCGTTGTAATTATGAGCGTGTCATGCTGACGTTAGCATTTAGCTCAAGTCCCAGTGAAACCGAAGTTCAAGCGTCTTTAGCTTCTACACTGACATTCCGGGTAAAAACGAAATATTTAACGGGTGTTCAGATACAAGAGGGATTTAAATCAAAGACTTTGCATTTGATTGAATAGCTTAAAAATGGGCGGGCTTAGAATATAGCTCACACGGAGCTACAGAGGCTCCACAGACACCACCCTCGTCACTAAAAGTTGCAGATTGATAGGTCGTGATATTATTGGTTGAAATTGGTTGGTACTAGTTTACCTTTGAAGAGATTATATTTTGGTTTACAAGAAGATGATTGGATGTTGATATAAAAGTATGAAGAAATTGACTTTCTTTGTAATTGTTATGCATATATTATTTAATAGGTGCACAATATGACCGAGGATTTGATCTATATCTGGTTGTAAAGGGGTTTTTTCTGCTTAATCTCGACTTTAAGTAAAGCTTAATTGAGCTGTAAGCATGCTTGTAGAATGTTAGTCTTGTTATGAACTATTATGGCTAAGCTGAAGGCATTTAGTCACCCATATTCACACAGATAAGCAATACAGAAATTCTCACATGAACCCCTGACCTTTACTCTTTTGATGCAATTATGGATTCATGGGACTCCCACAGAAGCATAAAGACATAACAAAAGATTAGACTTTGCTCATTATCCAAATCTATAGGTGGGTGGGTTCCATGTGTTTTCAACAAAGATGAAGTTTCAGCTTCTTTTGTAGTTCATCACTCCTTCTGGGGAGGTGTAACCTAAAGGTCTCTCTGGCTAAGAGAGGTTGGATTGACTGAAAGCTGTGTAAATATTAGTAAAGAAGAGTGCTTGTGCTGCGGAGCGTGATGTTTCCTTCACCCGGTCTGTTTGCACTGACATGATTTCTCTCTACTCTCTTACAGGAGATGTTTACATACAGCCAACACAGGACACAAAAAATCCTGTGATATACGGCGTCTTCTCTGTCTCTGGGTTAGTGTGCTAGAACGGATACTGTACATGAACAGCACCTGTAATAGGCTCTGTTGTAAGATTTTCCAAGTTGTTTTTTTATTATTTTTATTTTGCAAGATGCATCTTCCTGACCTTTCTCTGCCCTTACTTTCGGTTCACAGCTCTGTCTTCAAAGGCTCAGCAGTTTGTGTCTACTCTATGGCTGACATCCGCATGGTCTTCAACGGACCCTTCGCCCACAAGGAGGGTCCCAATTACCAGTGGGTGGCCTACAGCGGGAAGATCCCCTACCCTCGACCCGGCACGGTGAGTTTCAAAATCACTCTGACCCCACACATTAATCCCACATCAGCTTTTCTCTGCCACAGACCTCAAATAGAAACCACCTGAACACGTTGCAGGCATCAGCATGACCAAATATGCTTTTTCTTATGTGATAATGTCAATTATTTTTCATGGGTGTGTGTGTGTGTGTGAACACTTCTGTTTCTCTTTCAGTGCCCGGGAGGTACGTTCACCCCCAACATGAAGTCCACTAAGGACTATCCAGATGAAGTGATTAACTTCATGAGGAATCACCCTGCCATGTACAACGCTGTGTACCCGGTGCACAAGCGCCCCCTGGTGGTTCGGACCAATGTGGACTATGAGTTCACCACCATCACTGTGGACCAAGTGGCAGCTGCAGACGGCAACTACGAAGTGCTCTTCTTAGGGACTGGTGAGTGGTTTGTAATAAAAGTGATTTTAAAAGAGCCAACAACAGCTTTGTTAGGGTTTGTCTGTCTGAACCCATTGATCAGTGTCAGAAGGATGAATGACAGTGTCAGTGAGAAGCTGAATAATGAAGACAACCCCCCCCCCCTATGAAAATAAATCCCATGTAAGTGGAGGGCTTGTCTCCCCTGCAATCATTTATCATTACAAGAAAAGCATTCTTCCCTTTTGTCCTCAAGTGGACATTTAACCAATCAAAGGGTTTGTACCTCACTCTCATCACGTGAGGTAAACAACAGGAGACTTGTACCTGGAGGGCGGGGGTGGATCAGCAGTGGGAGGGAGAGAAAAGAAACGGGGGGTAAGAAGGACAGAAGTAGGCGTGGAGTGGGGGAGTACAGTTAGGACATCCATCACCTTAATCTCGCTCACTGGTGTAAAAGAGATTATCCATTTGTCTGTCTGCATGCCTTGAACCATTAATAAGGCCCCAGTGTTACAGGAGCAGCCACCACACAGGATGCACCCCTCACATATCGCATACGACGCCTCTGTACTGGCTTCTTTGTTCATCTGTGCATTACGGGGAGGAGACTAATGGGGTTGTGTGCGATGGAGGGCCACTGTGGAGGAATGTCCGTCCTTTCAGCTGCTGTCAGAGGGCAGCCATTCAGCCCTGCACTGGGGCTCAATGCAGAAGTCATAATAAATCTCAGGTATCCCGCTCAGAGGAATGCCTAACTCTTCGCAGAAATCAAACATGCCAGGGAGGGGCCAGGGGATGTCTTATGACATCCAGATGATTAGGTCATGGCAAGAGGGGAGCTGAGGATGACAGAAGGGGTTTGTCATGGTGGCGGCAGTGAGTATACGCTAAGTGGAACGGAGATTCACGTCATTGAGGAAAGGTTAAAGCAAAGAGAACCACAAAACCGAGGAGAAGAGTACAGTGGAGCCTGTTGATAGGAGGATTATCCCTTGTTGGAGGCAGCTGAGAGAATAAAATGGAAATCCAAGGGACTGTTGACAGGCGGAGGGGGTGTGAGGTGGTGTGAGGTTGCAGGTATGTAGCTGACGGGTGTGTCTTGTGGTCCACAGACAAGGGAACAGTACAGAAAGTTATCGTTCTGCCCAGAGATGACCTGCAGACTGAGGAGCTGGTCCTTGAGGAGGTAGAGGTTTTCAAGGTGAGCTTCTATTTACCTCGTTTCAATATTTCTATTTCTTCTTCTACTATACATTATCTGGCCTTCTTTGCACTCCCATCTTTGTTTTCAAACCCACACCTTCACCCTTTGTCGTAAGTTCCTTGTCCTTTCTGATCATCTGTTTTTTTGCTTATTCCTCTGTACATGCATATATCTAAGATAACACAATGTTCTCACAATGTATTCTTTTCTCTATCAAGGTCCCTACTCCAATTACAACGATGAAGATCTCATCCAAAAGAGTAAGCATGTCTGTGGAACTGATTTTCTTCACCTTTGCTCACTTAAAGAGAAAAGGAACCATCTTCCAAAGAAAGGTCAAAGCCCCATACTGTGTATGCAGCTGTGCTTCACTGTCGCTTCCCTTCATAATTCAGAGTAAAGCTGTAAGTCTGAGGGACACAATGAAGAGAGACATATGGAAAAGACACTTTAGGTGTAGTGTTGTCGTTCAGTGTGATTAAAATACTTGGCGTCTACTATATGCTATGACATCGTTCCACAGACAGAGAGTTTGTGTTTCACACGGGCCTGCCAGACAGATTAAATTATGATGACAACGTGATAGATCTGAACTCAATATTCTCCCTGGTGATTCAGAGCCTGTTGTTTCAGCACAGTGCAGGATACGTTTTTACACTTATTTCATTACATCCATCTGGGTTTATGAAAGTCTCATAAGCCACTTAAAACTATATTTTCAGGTTTCACAAATTCAGACAGAAAATTCAAGTACCAAGGCTTGATTGCTCGTCTCTGGTATCCCAGATGTTCAGGTCTGAATCTCGTTTTAGTGTCTGAACCTGATTTCTTTGACTTGACTTATAGTTTGAGAACCAAATTGAGCTTCTTGAATTATAACAATTAATCGTAGTTTTTGAAGATTTTGTTTACCCTAAATACACATGTATAGTGGAAATAAAGATTGTGAAATTGCACAACTTGAAACTCACTCTTGATAGTTTCAATAATGACTATTATTACTTTATTCGGCTCTGCTCCGAGCAGCTGTCCTAAAAAAACAAAACCAGGCTGTTGTCTCTTCCCCTTATTCTAATTTCTTTATCAAAGCGTCCTCTACGCTGTGTATAACACACTTGTCCATCCTCTTCTTTCTCAACAGCAACAGCTGTATGTGTCATCTGCGACAGGGCTGACCCAGTTGGCTCTTCACCGCTGTGATGTGTACGGCGAGGCCTGCGCTGACTGCTGTCTGGCCAGAGACCCTTACTGCGCCTGGGATGGCAAGTCCTGCTCCCGTTACTCCGCCTCGCAGAAGAGGTGAGCACCAGCAGCAGTGTCTGCATGAGCTACACTAACTTCATAACTAACTGACTCAACTGGCTTGTTGAATGATGATCTGATTAGACTTGCCCGGATGGCTACTTGGCTGTTTTAATGGCAATGTAGTGTGTTTAAATTGTACATGTATCACAGTCTTTGGGTAAAGTGTGATTTATGCTCCACTAATAAATAATACACTTGTGGTATTTTAAGTGTAACCAGCAAATGACGTAAATTCACATGCTTGTAATTACGTAATGGGCTGGTGGTTTGTGGTTAGACCCATTTAAATGGGATACGTTGATGGCTGTATGTATTAATGAATGGCTTTGAATGGCTTGCGGTTGCTTTATGATGTTTTTCTCTCCTTATTCGGCAACACTGGTCTGACCCCTTTAGACGTAGCCGGCGGCAGGATGTCAAGTACGGGAACCCCATCCGTCAATGCCGAGGCTTCAACTCTAACAGTAAGACGCCTGTTCTTCAACAGTTTTCTTCCTATTTGTTTATTAATGCCCTATCAAGGTTGAAAATAATGACACATTCTCTTACTGCTGCCACAAAAAAGTTCAAGGTTTTCTTTGTTATGGGCTGTAATGACCATATGCTGGCAGCTTTATGGTAATCTGTGACAGCCGTATTGCTAAAGGGACTTTGATTTGCCACAACTGAGGTTCTGGTTGTAAGGAGCTCATGGTAATGAGTGTTTTGGTTGCCATGGAAATCCACCTCTCTCTCTGCCCCGCAGCCAATAAGAACACTCTGGAGATGGTGCAGTACGGGGTGGAGGGGAGCAGTACCTTCCTGGAGTGTCAGGCCCGCTCTCCACACGCTCTTATCAAATGGCATCTGCAGAGAGACAACAGCGACCGCAGGAAAGAGGTGACACATTGTGTATTTCTCAAAAGCGTTATTGTGTTTGTGGGTACTTTACTCAAATGAATATTTATCCAATACAAAGCACAAAATAAACTTCCCAAACTCTACCGAGCATTTCCACGGATGAACGTGAAAAATGTGTTTTTGTGTTTACATTTCCATATCGGGTGGGGCCCAGTATTTAATTTCAGTGTTTAATTTCAGTTGAGATGACGAGATGGAGATTTAAATGCAGTTTGACACATTTGAAAAATGACCCCAGTGTAATTCTTTTCTGATTCCCCGTTAACAAGATTAAGTGATTCAGGCTCTGATTGAATGATGCCTGATTTCACACACAGACCTCCGACTGTCCTCGGGCCCGAGGGAAGGACACATAAAGGGGAGCTGTGAAAAAAGCCCTCTGCTATGATATATAACCCTGAGGCACTAGTTAAAGTTTTATTGTGAAGCTATGTAGTGTTGCTGCTGCCTCTCTTTTATTGACTATTCTGTTGGATGGTCTCTATTCCCACAGGCAGAGCCGACTTAGCTGCTGCCTCGCACTTCTGATTCTGAGCTGGAAAGCTTGTCCTTATCAGTTTCCTTGCTGTGGATGCACAGATAGTGTTGATTTGATAGAGTTAATCCTAGAGTTTCTGTTTGATCACATTTGAATTGATTGATTTTTTTAAGGATATTAATCCACCACACAGACCAAGACAGTTACGGATGTAAATAATGTCACACTAGTCAGAGTCCTAACTCAGTCAGATCACGAATACACAGGTGTCAAGATCTCAGACATCCAAAAATGTGTTTAGAAATCAGAGAAAAAGACGCTCCGTGAAACTTCTGATCTTGATACAAGTTTCCGAAAATGTAGTCAAATAGACTTTGGGAGGTGTAGATAGTTTTAAGTTAAATACTCAATCAGCCAGCTTCATTCATAATAACTTTTTATCAGTTTTCAACTGATGTTGCGCAGCTATTATTTATATCTCGTGATCAATATTGAAGCCAGACAGCATGACAATAGATAAACTGAAGTTAGGGACAGTCTCTGAAGTGCATGCACAGTGGCCACAAGAGAGATTTTCTTATTTTTGTCAATAGTTCTTTTTTTTCTTCTTTTTTTACCACCGGATACTTAAAATCAAATGTATTTTTATCTGGACCATTTCTCTTTGCATGCACAGTCACCATTGAAAAAAAAAACCCAGTAATGAGATGAGCTATGTTTGACCAATATTTTGTAGCATTCTCATTTTCTAGCATAGAAACACTTCCTGGACCTCCTCCCATTATATGCACAACCCCTTAAAGGCTCCTGCTCTATTATCATTTTTATTTTCCAGCCAGATTGTTGCATAACTTTATATTAATTTAGGTGCATGGTTGGAATATTCTGTAATACATTTTATTTCTTGTGTACAAAAAGTGCGTACATATATACGTATTATTAGTAGAATAAACCATTCAACAAAGAAAATTAAACTATATCGATGTTTCTGCTTTAGCCTCACCCACTTCCAGTATAAACCCATACAAATACAAATTTGTGTGTGACATAAACAGATGCAGATAATAGCTTTGCATTATACACATAATGCACAGGATGTCACTTCACAGGTGTTTCATGAGCTGTTTTTCTCTGCAGATGCGTTCTGATGGTCGTATTTTGAAGACAGAGCAAGGTCTACTCCTGCGGTCTCTGCAGCCCTCTGACTCTGGCATGTACCAATGTACGGCCACGGAGAAGAACTTCAAACACACGCTGGTCAAGCTGCAGTTGGTGGTGCTGTCGAGCCGGGCCGTCAACAACGTGCTGGTGGAGGGCGGAGGAGGGCTGATGCCGTCTTCTTTACACTCCAGCAGCACCCAGTGGACCCCCAGCGCGGGCCAGTACAAGGACCTGCTGACCATCCTGAGCCAGCCAGAGATGAGCCTGATCAATCAGTACTGCCAGGACTACTGGCAGTTCGGAGACCCGCTGCTGGGCGCCCTCAAGGCCAAAGACCTGAAGGAGCTCAAGGACCAGAAGAAGCCCCGTAACCGCCGGCATCACGGGAAGGGGGAGGGGGAGGAGGAGGGGGAGGAGAAAGAGGAGCAGGAGGAGGCAGAGACATGAGGAGCCCAGCTTTGTGTCTGAAACACCCTCAACCACCTTCTTCCCCCCCCCCAACCACCCTGTGCAAACTGGGAGAGACTCATTGAGAGTAGCAAACGTGAATAAAAAATCCACAAACCCCCAAAAAAGCAAACTGAGAAAAAAAAAGGCTTTCAAACACAAAACCCCACATACATCCTCTCAAACAGTAAGATATATGATACACAGTATTTATTGTAGGTTGTATATAGTATCATTCTGTGGATTTCTTTGTACTTATAGAAAAAACATGCTCTTTGTGTATAGGTACCTCTGGGGCAAACATTATTGTTATTGTTGATGTTGTTAATTTTATTGTTGCTGTTACTGTCATTACAGAACTCATCTGTCAGCATCATATGACCTTGGCGACTGTTTGGAATGTGTTATCAGGCATGTAAGCTGTTCGGAGCGAGCTGTGAGAAGCTCTAACGGGGAAATGAGTTGTTGATAAGGGGTGATGGGATCTCTGCTGTTTCTTGCTTGCTTTGACTCGATGCCAAGGCTCTTTTATTTCTGGACACGCCAGGAACGCCTGTGACGCAGCGGCTACATGCGGACAGAGACTTAATTTTGCAACGGGACCATCGACACATGGTCCCAGTTATTGTGGGGAAACAATCCTTTCTCCATGGGAACCCAGATGTACAGATGAGCATTCAAATATTCCCACTGGTGTTTTTGGGCCTTTTAATAGGAAACTGGTGCTTGCACCCATTCTATGTCCTTCCTCATTGGAGGATTGATTGTAAAATGATCCAGCATCTTTGCTGCTATTCAGCCCAGGTACAAATTTAGATTCTTGAAATATCAATTGTACTCTACTTTTATTAACCTGCAGCTTCTTCTGGCCACAAACTCAAGTTTAAAAAAGATACATAGTTGAAAGAAGCAAAGCATTTTTTTTAAATCAAATCTATGAGTAAATATAGTGGTTTGGTTCTTTTTAAATGGAAACATCCTTTGAACTGAGATTGAGGTGCAATAAAGGGTCACGGTTTTGCACAAAGGGCATTATTCTTTTACTTTGACGGGACATTGGCTGGGGCCAAATGCAACAAGCACACTCGGGCAAGTTATAGTTGACTTCTGTAAAAAAAAAACGAAAAAAAACAACATAAAAAAACAAACATCCAATTGAAGATGAAAGAGATGCACGGATCAGACAGCAGTCGTTAGCTCTGAGCACTCGAGACATCTATTGTCCTTTCTTCCTTTTACATTCACATGTGAAAAAAAAAAAAAAAAAGAATTGCCCGTATACACAACAGAGCATTGTAACAATGTTGTGACACTAACCAAAATATTGGGAAGCTGGCTTTCATTGTGTGCATGAACCTGTATTTGTACTGTAATTCTGATAAGATACTGTGTGGTCTTTTTCTTTCTGTTTTTCATCTCTCTGGGTGTACAGTATGGTCTCTGAGGGACATTCTCAGTACATGTAATGGGGAAAACAAATGCTTTAAAGAAGCCCTCATTACAAATATACCCCGTATAAAGCATGATGCATCTTTTCATTGACATTAATATAGATTTTTGATTTTGTGTATTAAGTGAACTTCTCTTGCATATGTGTTTGGATAGCACATAATGAGGTAAAGTCTCATTCAATGGCATATTAATTATGTAAACAAACGCAGTTTTGAATTTGATGAAAGGGTTGTTATTACAGGATGTGGGATGGTTCTATTGATCAGAATTGTTATGCTCTATTAAAAGCAGTACAGCATTTCTCCAGCAAGTGAAATTAATGCCATATTGATTTATAAGAATATATGATGTGGAAAAAAACAAACATCTGGAACAAGGTGCAAATTCATTTTGATATAATTCTGATATTTCAAGGCTTTTAATACACCATGTCTGGCTCGTATTCAGGCTGTTTTGAATGCCTCTGGGAAGATGCATCTATAATTCATACAGAGGTATCTCTATCTGCTCCTCAATTTGGGATGTCTGTCTGCATTCCCAGAATCAATCACAGTTCCTGGTTGTCTCCTCCAAATGAGACCAGGGGCTATATACAGCAAAAGAAAAAAAAATGCAAAGAAAGGTTGTACAATTTGTTGGTATTTTTAAAAAAAACGTGTCTGTAGTTTTTGAGTGTTTTTTGTTTGTTTTTGTATTTTTGCATCATCAGACTTTATGGAAAAAAGAAAAAAACTAAATGCACAAAGGTGATGTTCTTGTAATGACTTGTGTAAATTACTCTCTCTTCCCTTTCCATTGTTGTTGCTGACTAATAAATTAAAGCTCTATATTTTATAAGAATGGAATGCTCCCCCCCCTTCATTGTGATTGGCTTGATACTGGATGTTTTCCATGTTCTGCCCAGAATCCCCTGGATCCTTGGAATAAAGTTGTACCTGTTAAAGAGATATGTATGCACATTTGTATAAAGTATACACATTGCATTTTTATATTTGTAATGAAGCTATTGGAAAGCAAAACACGTCCCATGAAAGGACGCACGAGGAGATGTGCTCTCTGTTTCTATCAGTGTCTTTACCTCGATGCCTAAGGTATCGATTATGCAAGTTCCTAATCCCCAATCCGTTAATATGTTCAGATGAAGCTTGATCAGTACTTAAAGGTTCATTAACTCAGATTCTAAGAGTTCAGCAGTGCTAGATAATCAGAATATATCTGTGGGAGATTGATCGGGCTGTAAATCAATACTCATTTCTCAACAAGTCGACCAGAGGCCGACATTCAGGCTTTGAAAAATCACTATAAACACACCATTTTGCCTTTTCAACTAAACAGTGTTTAAAAAATGCCACTGACAAAACAGAGTTATTGTGTATCATGATGCACGCTTACGCTGCCTTTGTTCGACATACTTTATTATATATTTTTCTGTCCTTAACAGACGAGAACTGAGTCACATTGTAGTTAATGGTCTGTTTTAATGGAGGACATCTTCACATGTCATATTAAGGAATGCACAGGTGTAAATAATTTAAGTATAGCTATTTTCCATACAGCTGCTTCAGTGCTAAACTAGAATTTGGACCCGGTCAAAGATCTGGAGCAAAGGTTAGGAACCAATGTTTAGATTAACTGTTTGCCAGGTGAGTTAGTTAGTTACTATAAATTTTTTACAGCTTTTTTGAATAATGTAAAACTTGTCCAACCTGTTCTACCCCCTGAGCGACAGTCACCTACCACAGACACTGGTCTGCCATTTTTATTTTATGTTCATCTATTGACAAATATTTCATGAATCTCCTAGTTTCTGACTATCGAGATCCTTTAGTTCATAGGTTCGCAACCTTTTGTGATTTAAGGCCCACTTCTGATTGTTAAATTTAATCAAATTAAACAGTTGAATCAAAAGGAATGTGTGTCTGGAGTATGTGCAGGCACGTCTGGCTCACAGCACCCAAAGGGAACAGCCTGTTGTAGGGTCAGATAGTGGGCTTGAGTTAAGCCCATGTGGGTTTCTGCACCTCATAAAAGCCTTGATGACCCCTCAACAGCCCAAGAGTGACTCAGATTCTCACTTATAATTCATGTAAGTTAAAACATAATGAGCAAACCAGAAGAAGCAGTGATGCAAAACATGTTGCATTCTTCATTCTGCTTGAACAAAGTATGAATAAAAACTGATCAAAGTGCAGATAACATGTGTTCCTTGTTTGGGTGTCTTCTTTGATTGTATTTGACAGCGACTTCACAAATACGTGCGCTACATGGACAACATGCAGATCCTTGTTTTGGGGATCTGAATGTGCTCTTCATGTAATATGTGCGTCACAAAGGTTATCCCACAAAGAGATTTCATCTGCTCAATTTAGCCCGATGACGTATTGTACAAAGTGGAGATGAGAACCCGTCTGGAGAGTCCTTTTCACCCTAGCATGGGTTTGTTTCAGGACAAGGCAGAAAGAGGTCGGATGGTTTGGAAAACCATCACAGGGCATTCCAGGCATCAGATGACATTTTTGGCTTTTGAGAACTCTGTTGTCCCCTTTTCCATTCCTTCCCATAGACAGAGCTCTGTTCCCTTCACTTATCTGATCCCTACCAAGGAGCAGCAGAGCAGATGAGGGGTATCAGGGTGGGACATGTCTGCATCATCACCATGTCACTTCAAATCCAGCGACATAACGGCAAGCTTTGGCATCGCTAACAACATTCAATTGACTTTTTCAGATGTGGGATCCGGCTCTGTCTTATCGTTGAGTCCGATCTGGTGCTCGGTAGCTCAGAGGCAGTGGTGGCATTCTGTGGTTATCTGCTTCGCTTCTCTCTCAGTGCACAGCTGTGGGACACTTACTGCATTGTTGGAGAAGAGAGACTCAGAAGTAGGATAGTGAGAGGCAGAGGTTTGGCATGCCAGAAAAAACTGGTTCACAGGCATCCTTCGGAAAACTTGGCCACTGTTAAATGCCAAACTCCCCTGAAGACATGATGAGCTGACATTCATTTAATGCCTCAACCTGGGATCCGTCACCAACAGGGTTACAGAGTTTAGCTCTTAAAGTGACTGGCTGCTATATTTGATGCATCACTCCAGTTCTCATATTGTCAGACTCTCTCATCCAGTAACTATATACAGATGACATTCTGGGGAAAGTGATGAAAAGCAGGGAAAAGAGGGAACAACACTGCTGTCTGTTGCCTCTGTGCAAGCACAACAGGAGATCTGCTGACAGCTGCATTACACACTATCAACCAGCAGATGGCAGAATGCAACAGTGTCCACTGTACTGTTCCTTTTACAAATGTGCAGAATAAACAGGTCCATACCTACATACATAACATTTATAGTAGAAGTACTCCTGTGACTGATGAGATTAGTAATTAATTACATTAACACTGATGCAACAATGTGTTCGTAGTATTTTGCTGTTGTAGCTGGTTGAGGTAGTTTTAACCTTTTAACTAACTCTATATATAGTTTAGTAGTTTAATCCAGTGGTTCCCAACCTAAGGGTCGGGCCCCCTCCAAAGGGTCATAAGATAAATTTGGGGGCCATGAGATGATTTTGGTCTCATAATAACAATTATAATAATAGTTTTACCTCTTTGGGGCTGGAACCAGTATATAAAAGAAACCATTGGATAACTTCAGAGGGGAAATGACTCTATGGTGGAACTGCTACCATCTGGCAGACATCTGAAACATGCCGTCACTAACCTTCTAAAACCTCATTGAGCCAATCTGTCTCATAATACAAAACTTGATTACTGTAGGTTGATTTTTTTCCCCTGCTGGACCTCAGTGGCTGAAAGCTGAGACAGTAAAGCTGTTGACAGGGAACTGTTGTGATTGATTGTTTTTGAATCTCTACATGCCAATGAATCGATGCTACACACTGCACCCATTCACCATTATCATAACTCGTGGAATATTGATAGTTACTGTACCTAAGATGGAATTATTACAAGCAGCGCTGTGTTAAACCTAATGAGCTGTGTAGGTAGATTCATTCGTGCTTGCTGTTACTCAAGCATTTCTGTATCGATTTCACAACATACCTTAATGTGCAGCTAATATATTAGCTACTATTTTAGTTTAGTTAGTATGTAAGTTCGTTTTTGTCGGGAAGATGTTATATTTTGGAAAATTCTCTTTCCCTTCCGGCAAGGACACACTCCGATCAGTAGCCTTTCATCTCTAGATTGCTGGTTGAGAGAAACAGGAAACACTGACACTTCTCCCAGCCAACCTTTCTTAATGAAGTCATCCAACAACACAGAGGCAGAGTTAGGATCCCCCTGAGCCCCACTGAGTGTATGGATGGCTGCATATCTTTGTACAATGGGCATGAAAAAGAGAAAATCTCCCAAGAGGAAGCCCATTGAACCCCCCAGAAAGTGAGCTCTCTCTGCATAATTATTCCAACAAGATGGAATTCAAGTGTCTTGGAAAGCGTCACCAAATGGCACTGCAGGGATTTTTTTCCAAACACGAGTTCACACCCCACCAGGATAGCTGCTAAGTTTGTGCTAATTGAGAGTGTGTAACACAGATGCTCTTCTCCGGGTTAGGGGGGGAAAGCAGAGTGTGATGACGCAGGCTGATTCCCACATTTTCTCGAAAAACAATCCTGCAGATCTAATAGAGTCATCCTTCTCGAAAGACACAAAGCACCCTCCATCCACTCGGAAGAGAAACGACGACTATTACTGACGAATAAACAGATGAGTTATAATTTTATTTTTTACCATCAAAGTCATCAACTCAGTCTAGGAGTACAGTACAGAGCTCACAAATGCAAGACAGGACCTACAGGTGACCACTGGTCCTGGCAAACGTCACATCTACAAATACACCTGTAAGTGCATGGCGAAAGGAACAGACATGGAATACTAAATACAGTGAGCAATGTAGTGGGCGGGGGGGGGAAGCATTGCTATAAACTGTGTAACAGTGTTCAAACAGTATTTATTTGCCATCTAAACAAAGAAAACAGACTACATGAAATAATCTATTCACATAAAAATCTCTGATATTCTTCAGTTTAAGCCTCTACTTAGAATCTAAATATATATATTAAAGAATGTAAGAAAGTATATAGTGGTATATTCTGAATGATTGGCCTGTCTACCAATCTACCCAAGCACAAATTAAAAGTAGATACATGTATGAATAAAAGACTCTGCGACGACAAAGTCAAAATTGATATTCTACGGATTATAAATGTGAACAGTTTTTTCCAAAGCCCCTTTTGATCTAAAATTCACATTTTCATATATATATATTCACAGGTGTTCACAGTTGACAACAGATTGGGTGGAGTCAGACAAAGCGGCCGTGCACGAGCCGTGACATATTATACTTTTGATTATGTCATCTAATAATCATATTGACAATGGGGCTGCTGTCTTTATGTGACCACGCCATGAAAACCCATGGTTCAGCGTGTGTTAGCACAGGAAATCCAACACATTCTCACTCCCAACTCGTCAAATACCGACACTTGGTTATTGGCCCTATGAGCTTCAAACTATGACGCTCTAGGTTCCCCTCTAGCGCCAGTTTTGGACGTGGCAGGGACAGCGTGTCAGTTGTTGCTCCTGTACGTGCGGTGTCTTTTCAAAATAAACTTCCAACAAAGGTTCACTTAGTTTCTAGTTTTACTTGGTTATGTTTAGGCAACAAAAGTACTTGGTTAGGCTTGGGAAAATGGGTTTGGGTTAAAATAAGTACATATGTTGCGTAACTTATATCGGCCTACGTAGCTTTAGTTAAATATGTAAGTTATGTGACAAAAGTAAGGTAAAATATGTCAACGTTAACAGTCTCCTGGGTGAAAAGTCTGTTTCTGTTGGACCCAACTGTCCACCCTGACCTTCTCCCTAATGAACTTTGTCCCTATTTATACTACGTCAAGTTGCTCTGACCGTCTTAATAATGATGCGGATGGGTTTACATTGGAGTTAGTGGAAAGCCTGATGGGTCCCACACAGACACTAAAGGTGCTTCGTTGCATTATCAGACCCGAAAGGGCACTGACAAAGCGTCGGTATTTGACGAGTTATGACACTTATCTGACAGCCACCATGTGTTAGTTTAAGGGACAGTTCACTCCAAAATCAAAAATACATATTTTTCCTCTTACCTGTAGTGCTATTTAAACTGCTCACAACAAGGTCTGTAGATTAATCCTGAGATTTCTGGAAAGACACATTGCTGTTGAACTACAACCCGAGTGCCATATAGCTCCATTATATGGAAGAGAAGGCAGACATCTCTACAGCCGATATCTCCAAAACTAGGCAACTCACACCAAAACAATCTAGGTTGATAAATAGAGCTACGTAAGAGGCAAAATGTGTATTTTTGGTTTGGGGTGCACTGTCCCTAAATGGCCCTGCTGGGTCAGACAGCTGGCAAGGACTATAGACTTCTACTTACAGGTACATGGACTTTATCGAAAGGACACCAGGAATCACAGTTTCTGCAGCCGTTCGAATATTGCTCAATTTCCTCTAGAGTGATTACAGAGAACTCCTTCTGTAGCTCATTATTAATGCTCGAGGGGACCAAAGCGTGACAAGAAAGGAAAGATTGTTATTACTGTTTATCAAGTATAAAGGAGAAAATTCTATGGAATAAATACATGACTGAAAGAGTTGGAAAAACAACATCAACAAAAAGAAAGAAAAAAGAGATGTGGCAATAAAAATATAAATAAATAGTACGTTCAGAAATTTCAAACAAATGATTCATATATTTCTTTAAGTACAATACAGGTCAGCAAAGCTGAGTTGGTGAAGATGACCGTAGTCACCAAAAAGTCAAAATTGTGCGCGTCTTCCTTTGAAAGCCGCATGTGGTCAGTTAATGCACATTTTGATTTACAGTTACAACAAAAATATTAAGACATATGTGGCATTTTGAGTTAATATCCTAACACAACGGGCAATTAAACCAAAGCACATACAAGTAAACTGAGATCTAGCAAAATAATACACTTTTCTTGTGACGAATGATGATGTCATGAAGTTTCTAAAAAAGAAAAGCTACAAATTAATTTGAATGCATAGAGCTCATGTGTAATGAAGACTGCTTTTTTCCATATAACTTACATTGACAGCAGGGGTGCTAAATGAACAGTCGCAAGAGACAGCATAATGTATAGTGTGCTTTTGAAAAGAACATAAGCCTCGGCATGGCTTTGTGGCAAGAGGCGAAGGTTCTGCGGCCTGCGACAAGACGGAGTTTGGCGGTAGCGCGTCTTTATCCACCAAGTGGTTGTAAATGTAAAATGAACAGCAAAAAGTGAGAATGCATGCTGTTTTGGCTACTTCTACAAAGGTCTCTATGTACAGGATCTTTACACTTACAGCTATAAGGTTCTTTCCTGAGCAGGAAGTTAGCAAAGGAACATAATGTTTGTGTGTGTGCTTGTGTGTGAAGCTGCCTAGTTAGTTGAAAATACAGCACTGGGCATAATAACTCCCAGTCACCAATTGCAGCATTGTTTAACGTACAATGACTGGTTGATGCAGACAATAACAATTAAGAAAGATAACAATATTGCCCCTGTGACAGGAATATGTGTTCTTCTCCATGTGTGAGGACCAGCACTTACTGAGTATCACGGTACAAGGTCAAAATTTCAGAAGCAATACTTTTCTACCGATTCAAAGAACAAATACTGTAATTGCAAGACTGACAGAGAAAAGTTTCCCAAGTTGGCTCATTAAAAAAGGAATCAAAGCCGTTTTCAGCACAATTATGTCCTCCAATATTCTCTTATCGCTAAGAGAAGAATAAGAAAGAAGAATTTAGCTGTAAGCCACAGCTTGACAGCAAATCTGTTTGCCCCTAAAACTCAAGTGTGCGGAGATGGACAAGATTTACATAATTTGACAAAAACACCGGAGGGTCAGTGAAAAAAGACATAATACGTGTAAAAAGAAAGCCAACGCAACGCAGCACTCAGGAAAGGTAGCACACAGCCTCCATGAGATGATACTAATGCTGCAAGTGAGAGAGAAGCAGAGTCAGTGTCACCATGCTAGCAGCTAATGTACAGTGTGCAGGAGTTGGCGGGGAGAGCCGAGGTCACAAGGGGAGGAGTTCGGGTGGGGTGGGGGGGGTCTAACCCTGCTCGTCCCCGGCCTCAGTGGCTGCATGGAGCGCAGCTGAAGCCTCCCCATTACAACGCGTCGTGGGCTCGGCCTCCTGCGGAGCCGGGCTCGGTTGCTGTGGCTCCGCGGGTGAGGTGGCCACCGCGGCTCCAGCCTCTGGTGCCGGTTGGCTTATCTCAGCTCCAGCAGGGAGCTCTGTTACGGGAGCTCCCTCGGGCGTCGCGGCAGATGAAGGCGCAGAGGGGTCGGTGGCAGCCTGGGGAGCCACGGCGTCTGCCGGGGCGCCGGCCGCAGGGCCGGTTACCCTCGAGTCACTCTGCTCGGGTGCTCTCAGTCTCTTCATGATGGTGGTGACCCTCACAGCTTTCTGTGGAAGGAGGGATGACAAGCTGAACTCAAATGGGTGCTGTGACCTGAGAACATTGACTCTCAATGTCCTGAACTGTTCTACCATACTGCACTACTGCACTTCCTGGTTCAAGGATCAAACGACCACTGTCGAAGGTTGTGAAGAGGACGTTCCTGGAAGAGAGAACAGAAGGGCTTACCTTCCATTTAGCTCTGGCGAAGTTCTTCTCTATTTGTGCGCACACATTTTCCTTGATGTTCTTATCTGAAGCTGCACCGCCAGAGATCCTGTAGTAGAAAATTGGAAAAAGCAACAACTTCACAACAGAGCTTTATGCTTCCCCCATATTTGGATGCTTTGGGCTGCTGCGCACACTATTGCTCAATTTATTGTTCATTTTATGGACTGGCAAACATATGCAGGACCTGTTTATTAGCCTTTAATGATTATTTTGATTAGGTTTCAGCTTGAGCCTTTTTCTCCTAGTTTTTTTCCCAGTGACAATCGACTTATGGATGGAGGAAGGGCCTCTATCAGATATATCTAAGTGATCAAAGAAAATTATTAATAGATGCGTTCTTAACACAATAAAATGAAATGTCTGCAAACAGGCGCAATTAAACAACCTCAAAATACATGCAAGACATAATGCACAATGAGATGTCCCTACACAAGAAAATGTTCTTAACCAAATGAATGATTGTCTATACTGAAATGCATTATTGTGGTTACACTAATGCCACGGAAAACAGAACTGTGCAGCTATGTGAGGCTGTACTTAGGAGCTAAATGCAATCATCAGTCTGCTAACATGCTCCCTAGAATAACATTCTAATGTTTACCACTTATAATGCTTGCCATAAATCAGCCATACAGAGAATTGTCAGCTGGATCTTCATATTTCATCAGCTTTACGGAGCTTTATAGCCAGTTTCAGCAGTAGGCAGCTGTTTCCTGCCTGAAAGCTCTATAAACCAACTGTGCACTAAATGCTTAGCACCAAACAGCAGACGGACACAGCTAGCAACTAACTTGTGAACATGGCAGAGAATTTAGCTGCTAAAGAGCCAGATATTTCCCTCAGGCATTGGTAGAGTCCAATAAACAGATCGAAAAAGATTAAATATCAGAGTGAATATCAGACTAACATTCATTAGGTGGACAGAAACACGACTCCTAATGAATGATAATGTTGCTCCGTAACTACTAAATGTGTGAATTCGCAACAGTTTGCTGACAAGTTCACCATATCAACTTAAGGTTGATATGTCAATGCTGCGTTCACAACTCACAGCTGCCCCCAAGTGGCCAAAGAAATCTGTTACTGCAGGTTTGTTGCTGTTGTTGCAAGTGTGTTAGCATAGTATTTGCTTAGTATTTGCTAATTAGCACTTAACAGTGAATGCCATGGGCATTTGAATATTTGGTCACAAAGTAAGTACACAAGTATTGGACAAAGTGAAATTTTGACCTGATGATGGCACTAGGTAAAAAGTCAAGGGATCATTTTTCATGACCATTTCAGTTATTCAAAATAACATAATGTCTGCACCAAATATGATGGCAATCTGTCCAATATTTGTCAAGACATTTGAATAGTAATCAAAAAATGTCAACCTGCTGGTGGCACCAAAGTAAAAGTCATAGGATCACCAAAGTCACTAGAATACATTGTCTGGGAACCATGAACCTTTCTGCCATATTTTGTGCCAATCCATCCAATATTTGATTCAGAAATTCCAGGTATTTCCATCACGGGAGCCACACTGCTAATGAGGTAAGCGCTTTGGCTTGTTGTTGAGTGAAGTATAAATATTGATATATGCTGTGGTAAGTTGCAGCCCAATAAATGCTGAACACTCATTAAGAACAGCGATTAGCCTTTTTTTAAAAGCCTTTTTCTTCTCAAAGTCATCTCAAGGGACAAACGAGAAAGAAAGTCTGCTCTTTTGCAATTGCATCACACCAACACAGTCTGATCACACCGCTCTGGATTAAATGGTCTGCACAATATATCAAAGCTCTGCCACCTACCACTCGTGGTTTATAGCCTCCTGGGCTGTCAGTCTCAGGTCTTGATCCACCTCCATCAGACGAGTAACCAGACTCTTAGCTGTCAGAGAAACATCAAACAGAAGAATCTCAACAAAAAAGGGTTTGTTCTCCTGATGGACATAAATATGACATGTGTTGAGCCGGTCAAGAAAGGAGAATTTGAAATGTTTACCCAGTGTTTCTTCACAGTGTTAACTTTATCCTAAAAGTACCTGAATCTGAGATTTCATCCCAGTACGGAGAGTCAAACTCATAATCGCCTGCCAGGATCTTTCGGAACAGGTTCTTGTCATGGTTTTCAAAATCATCGTCGTCAGTTTCGTCGTAGAAAGGAGGGTTGCCTGACAGCCTGAGGTGGCACAGGAAAAAAAAAAGAAAGAGAATCAGGAGTTAAAAAAAGAATCTAGATACCATATTTAAACAACCCATATTCTGTAATGTTTCATGATGTACAATCTTTATCAATATCAACCAAGTCTGAAGCCGCCCAGTGACTTTAAATGAGGTGTAGAGCTCCTTGATGTTTTATGTCCCGACTTACAGTATGTACATGATGACACCTGTTGCCCAGCAGTCCACAGGCCGGCCATATCGCTGTCTGCCAACCACCTCTGGAGCTACACGAGAGTAAATGAACACCATCAACCGCTCTGTGAGCTTGAAAGCCACAGCAGGCCGCCACATCACAGTCTCCACAATGTCTTATTTGCTACTTTGTAAATGTATATCCTCACCCAGGTACTCTGGTGTCCCACAGGGGTCTTTGATTAGTCCGTTCTCCAGCTTGGCAAGGTGGAAGTCGCTGATGACTATTTTAGAGTGCTTCAGGCGATTGTAGTACACCAAGTTCTCCAACTAAAAAAAAAAAGAATAGAATATTACAATGAAAACATTAAGATGTTATTATGATTAAGGTCTTTCATTTTCACGGTCACTCATCTAGTCAACGTTTAAGAGGTTGACTTTCATTGTTTTTTGACAGAACTATGATGAGAAGACTGAAAACATCTAAAAGTGTAATTATCCAGTGCAGATTAAAAGAAAGTTTAATTTTGTGTTTTATCATGACTGGACTAAAGCTAAATGCCTCCACCACAAGTTTGACGTATTTCCACATAAGAAATGCATTGATTTTCATTTGAGCTGACGGTCCCATACAGGGAGATTTGAGAGGAAGCGTGGTGGAGAAGCTAATCCAGGTTTTGCCATGAATAGTAATCATATTGCAGCCATCTTTTTCTCCATTACACATTTATCGTCTTGAATCAAGCTCGCTTTTGGTATTTACGTGGCCAGGCTCGCCTGGTGCACCTGTGGCTAGATACAAGGGGGTGGGATCAGAAAGAATATATAATCCTATATTAAAAGGTAGGACGTTAGAGGTTGTGGCCGATCACATCCACTTCTTTCATGCACTTTAAACACAGGGCTCTTCTCGTCATGATGCACTGACAGGTTTGGGAATCCTGTGGAGAGTTTTCATCAATGGAAACTATTGTCTGTTATGTGCAGAGTTTTGAATATCAGTACAGCACTGCCTGATGTCTTTTCTTTTTTTTATTCACTTTTCTGAACACATTTCAAATCATATGGATATCCTTTTTATGATTTTACAACCATACAACAACAACCTTAACTTCCACCGCAGTGCCATATATAGGCTACAATGAAAGTGAAATTTAAAATGTGGCCAGTCCTTTTAGGTTGCATTTCTTTTATTCATGAAATTATTGTTCACTCCGTAACATTTCACTGTTTTACATGAATAAATAATTGCTGACGATCTGGGAACATACTTGCCTCTCTAATATTCATATTGCGACATAAACATGAGCCTAGTAATGTTCCACAAATCAATTTGGATTTTTAAGAAAACATTGTTTCATTTGTTTGTGGTGCGAGAGGAAAAGTCAGGAAATCACAAAGTCAGAAGGATTCATCCTCTGGAGATCATATTTACAAACTTTAATGGCAACTCAGCCAAAAGTTGTTGAGATATTTATGTCTGAACTAAAGTGGTGAACCCATCGACATTGCCATCCCTAACAATGAAAATGAGCTCAGATAGAATGTGGCTTGAAATAATGTTGACATAGAGCTTATGTCTGAACTTTACTGAAAGTGCTGTGTGATCCATGGCCTGCATTTTCTGCTATTGTATGATCTGAAACGATCAAACCTGCAGTCCATGCTCTACTGATTACGACCATCGTCGTAATCAGTTTCATTTACGACCAACCGTGCTATCGGCAGGTTGCTTGGTTCAATTAAAGTAAAAGGAATTTCATGGGACTGAAACTGGTGATTTCTACTGTCTGTAAGACATGTAAATGTCTACAAAGAACATGGCTGATCTTCACTGAAAAGCTTTTCAGAATCTAATCTTTACTTCGATGACATTTTGATCTCTATATGTTCAGCACATAACTGATTCTGCAGGATCCCAAGGACATTTATTTTTGATAACAGTGTTGTGGGGTTAACAGTGAGATGCCTCCACAGTGATGGTGCCTAGTATGCTTCTGCCTACAAAGCCCTGCACCCCTGTAGCGTGTTACCTTGAGGTTTCTGTGAACAATATGCAGGGAGTGGAGGTAGGCGACGGCCTCCAACACCTGGCGCACCACGTTGCTGGTGTCTCGCTCTGAGTAGTAGCCTTGGTCCAGGATCCAGTCAAATACCTCTCTGCCTGTTGCACTGTGGGAAAAGGAAGGCCCGCAATGCATTACATGTCTGTTGTTATAGTTATACATGTTACTTTCTCTCAGTACAGGAAGAATTGCACAGTGTTAACTGCAATTGTATCAGTTTGACTATGGAAACCCTTCTGTTATCCGCAATTCTCTCTCTAATTGTAATTTTACAATGTGTCTAAAGCAAAATGTCAATTACAGTTTTTGACAAGAATACACACTCCACCGATTAAAAAGGTAATGGTTTTAATCATTTCCCCATAGATGTTTCATTTATTTTTTTCTAACCAGAATTCCTAAACCCACAAATCAAGGACGAAGGACGAGACGAGTATCGCGTATTTTGAAAATGCATCAAATTCCCCAAGAACACATGCTGATGAGAATGGAGCAGCATGCAAGCAATCATATCTGAATACTAAATGAGTGGAGTTTAGAGCTGTGCTCATATCTACAGGCCCTCAGGCTACAACAGCTCATTCCCCATGAGTGCGTGATTAACGCATACAGTTCGGCAGGCCCCGGCTACCGCAAAGACAAGCAGAGAGCCTTTTCCCCCAGCTCATCAGACATCTGAACTCACAGTTCAAGGAAGAGGAAGTACTCTTTTTTGGTCTCAAAGACGTCCACCAGTTGGAGAATATTGGGATGCTTCACCCTGAGGAGATGTGTCACGAAGCACAAGGCAGAGAGAGAGAAAACACAAAGACAGAGAGAGAGCGATGTCAGGAGTCACACAGGAGAGGACGTCTCCATCATTCATTCTGTTGGAGGAATAATGTAAAGACCTCCTTTAACGCTCGTGAATCACACGCAGCATGGTCAGTTAACTTTACTTCACAGCACTGAGATCTGCGTGCTCAGCTGCCCATCCATAGACAACCAGATATATGTAATCTGATGCATTCATGTGGGCGTAAAGACAGCCACACAGCAGCATGGTGCTGAGCAGCTGACTATGCTTTGGGCAACATAATAGTGAATTTGGCCCATAAGAGGGACAATATTTCAGGATAAAAGGTGCTGTTCCCGCACGTGAATACCCCAGGAAGGCAAAATGCTCCCGTTGCCTTCAAGATCGTTCCTACTATTTTTAAAATTGCACTGAATGTGGAGGAGGCTCCAAAAAAACCACTTCCTCAAATGATGCAAAAGTCAATAGGTTAGGCAGTGAATACAAAATTGAGATGTGGGACATTTATGCATCATTGTCATTTTGCGTCACCACTGACAGGTGCAGCGTTGCATATGATGTACTGTATGTGTGTCTCTTACATCAGAAGCCAAGGGAAAGCATTGCATTATGGGACTTTTGGAAAAATGTAGTGCACGTCCTTTCAAACACTGAAATAAAGTGTCAGAAAGTGCAGCAGGTAGCAAATGGAGAGAGACTTTGGACACACAGTAGCTACATGTGGACAATAATACTGTGTTTCTCTACAACCACTCAGAGGTCATTCTCAGCAAGCACCTGTTTTAATAAGGATGAGGGGAGCAGTTTGCAAAGTCAAATGTGAGTGCACTGCATGCATTGGCCAACGCTCCTGCTGAACACCCTTTTTTCTTTCCTTACATGATTGGTCTGTGAATAAAGTGTTACCAATACAAAAAACGTGCACACTTTTAAAGACCCTCTACAGACATATTTCAAGACATAAAAATTCCTCTGCTTCGTAGAAGAATGTGTGTTTTATGTGTTTTTCATTAACCAAGTTCAATTAGCTCATTAATAATGGTTGAAATTACATTTAATTCTTCTCCCTCATCAAAAAAAACCCTCCAGAATATATGAATATTTATGAATTAAATAGATTTGAATAGAGCTGAGAGAACAGTGACAGTGTTCAGGATTTTCTTTGGTTCATTCTAAGTAATAGTAATAAAAAGATATATGAAGATTAATACTTCAGTAAGCACCTCTTTTCTTTTCTAATGCCTATATTCAAGCATTTTAAATTCAAATCACGCATTTGATGTTTTGCCAGCAATTATTCCCAGCCTTCGACAATGTCATCATATTCGATTATTCACTCCCCCCCCCCCCCACAGCTGATTAGACCAACGATCAGGAGCAGTGCGCACTGCTGTTATTGAGGCGTCTGAAGGGTAATTTTCAGAGGAATATGAGTTCATGTTTTGAAAGGCTTCTCATAAAGAAATCACACTTTTGCATTCATCTTGCTCCACTGCTTCACCTGCTGTCAGCGACAAATTGTTTAATAAAGGCCCAGGTTATGCTAATGTGGGATTTAACTGAAAGTTAGATTATTACAGAGAAGTTGAGACAAACAAGGTTCATAAAAAAAAGTGGCTTTGTGTGATCACTCAGCAAAAGGAGATGCGCTTTACTTTTCTTATTAAAGCAAGCACCGACATTTGTTTTTTTCTTTTTGAAAATTGATGTCGTCTGTGAAATTAATATTTAAGAAGATGAAACAGGGGAAACAAAAAAGCAAAGAGTCTTATCGCAAAACTCATCATGCACTAGTGACTCCAGAGAACATGAACCACAATGAATAACTTACATCTTTAAGATGACGATCTCATTTTTCGCAGCCTTGCGGACTTTCCTTCCATCCTTTTTCAGGAACTTTTTACATGTGTACATTTTCATTGTAGTTTTGTCCTTGGCCCTGAATATCTCACAGAACTCCTCCCTGAAAAGAAGCATTTTTTTATGGCATTTGATACAAACACAGATCATAATGGTTCCTCGATAAGAGATAATGCATAAAGTCGTTGAGATACTCACGATTTAACAATCTGACCCAGGTCATATTTATCCGTAACATCCGAAGGATTGTTGTAATCCTTCTTTTCCCCGATAGTTAAACAGCCAAATGGCATGGCCGCTCCTGACCTGTGGTGAGAGAAACAGACAGCGAGACAATGGAGTGAGAGAATGAAATGTATAATTACACTTTCATCAATCTATCAGGGTGTCGGGGTTAAGTCCTGACGCCCCTCTGAGCTGATAATTTCTCTCCAACTTGGCCTCACACGGTGCCATAATATTACAGCGGATGATGACTTGGCAGAAGAAGAAAAAATAATACTCCACTAATGCTGAGAAAGCCTTTCAAAAGAGCCACCAGAGGCAGTGTCAACGCAGAGGATTGTTTCACTTGCTGAGCCTTTCAGGATCCTGTATTAAGGGCAGAGCTGTAGAGGGATCTGCTGCACAGGCCGAGCTTTAGTCCAATACCTAACTTATATAAGTATTACAACAGCGAGGGGAATGTTTTTGTTGTTTTTTTGAAGCAGAAGTCTGGGCTGATGGTGCTTCTCTGTGGGGTGAAAAGTTTCAAACCGTTGGGGTCAGGGAGCTGAAGGAGCAGCGGCTAATATGATCCAAGAGAGCAGCGAGGCAACCGCGGCAATAAGTGAAGCATTTGCATTCAGGAACGGGAGTCAGCAATTACAGGCATGGCACCCCAGGAATCCGAGGGGGTTTAAAGCACACTTGGAACACCTAATTGCGGTGCAGCCTCTCCTAAATAGCATGGAGTGGAATTTGAGACCAGCCTTGGGCAACTTAACTGCAGGTTTGTTTGTTTTTTACTGAGAATTAAAGGTTTTGTAGTCAGCATAGTATTATTTTTGTGTTTCAAGGGAGGAGGAGGGGTTCTTTTTTTGTATTCCTGTCCCAGCCGTCGAGTCGGGAAGAAAGATACCAAAACAAGTGTGCAATAAAACATTCACGGTCAAGACAGTCTGTGTGTGTGTGTGTGAATCTGGTCTATATGCTATAGGGCTCAATGGAAAAATTCACATAATCCATGTTTTTGTGGTGATGTTTTAGAGGTTGAAAATCTCATAACAATATATCAGCCGATTTACTTAATATCTAATAAACATCCCTTAAAAATCCCTTATATTACCTTCAACAGCTTTGGCATTTCTGTACAGCAATGTATCAGTTGGGCTTTTTCTATATACATGATTTATGTTGATCCATTAAGAGATTTAATTAAGATCTCAAATACATGACTTTTACTGCAGAACTAAAAACACATGGTCATCATTAGGGATAAAATCTCCTGTCATGGTATGTGATATTGTATATCACAGTAACGACATACCGTATATCATTCATATAGTAAACTCTCATGAGAAATGAGAAACCTTTTTATAGATAAACGGTCTGTTTTTGGCTAATTCAGTGCCTTAAATACCTAACAAATGAAGGCACTTAATCACATTGATGCAAAAAAATCCTGTAAATCCAATAATGACATGAAACAGACGAGGGAACCAACGCGTTGCTTTCTTCTGGGCTGGCCTACAAAAATCTGTCTTGGCTGCACCAACCTGTAGCTGGCTTCATACATTGTTTTGAAAAGAAATAACTTGCAAATAAGACAGAAAAGGGCTGGGGTTGGATCAGTTACAACAAGCAAGTGTGAGACTTCTCTTGGTTCAAATCCCTGGCGGATTTGGGAAAATCTGGAGGGAAAGCAGTTGTTCGCTCTCTCAACAACTACCCAGGCACTAGGCTGGGTAGTTTGTTTGTGAAGCTGATGAAGGTAAAGCAGGGCAGTGCTGAAAAACGATTGCGCAGCAAAATTTCTGCAGGTGAATAAAAAGAGAAAAAAAAATGTTTATTTCCTATCCTCACAACATCCAGTCAGGGTGATGGATGTCCGCATGGAAATGAGAGCAGCCAGCATCAAACGTATAGTGTTATGTGTGAGAAGGGCAATCCGTTCACTGTAGCTCCACTAACAGACTTCTAATCCAATCTCAATGAACGAGGTTCAGCGCGGAGACGTCTCAAATTACCAAGAGAAAGCTGTGCTCTCTGTGAACTTCCTTTTCTCATCCGAGTCTGTGTTGTGTAGTCCTTGTAAGCGGCTGGCCTTTTCCTGGCTGCCTATATCTCTCTCTGACTCTCAATGTGTGTTACATGTCTCTCTGTGGTAAATGCTCTGGCTCAGCGAAGTTATAAAAGGAAACTTCTGCAGGGCCAGTGCTTAAATGGAAGTAATTCTTAGTAAGAAGCGGAAAAAAAAAAATAATCTGTATTACGCTAGAAATCGTTTATATTCTGCAAGTGGCTATAACAGTCCACAAGAGAGTCGTTGCATTGTGGAGAGGGAAAGTAGACCGGAGAAAAAGAGATTGAAAGAGCCATTCTGATGATGATGATGAAATCTAATAAATCTGATGAAGAAAGCCAGATGATAAAGGAGCCTTTGTTGTTTTGGAAAAAAAGCTTATTTTACAGGTTCATCATGAACCTGTGAAAGGAAGAGCAGGCTATGGAGACACGAACATTCACAGACATCCAAAGCCAGATTAGCTCACCAAAACTCCACAAAGTATCTCTGGCAGCCGCTCCCCTTTAGAAAAATGAAAAGCGCGAGACTTTCTGTGATGGATAGAAAATTTGTGAAGCATATCAAGTGGAAAGAGCAGGATGCCGGCAATATCATATAACGGAGGCAGCATAATGGGCCCATTTGGACTGACCACCATCAGCAACAACGGAGCATTATCACCCCGTATTCTGACCGTTATCTGCCCTCGGAGAGAGCACCAATCGATGGCTGGCGATGCTTTACGGACCAGTGTGTGACAATGGGTCGGGCCGGCCCGGGTCAGCTCGGGCCACCCAGCTATATCACCACTGACTTTCTGCAGAGGCAGTGAACATTTACTGGACGGAAGATGGATGGCGATAAAGATCTCGGGCTTATTAGGCGAGCGCAGCGCCTCGTGCAGCCAGGCGAGCCAATGAGCAAATGAGGTTTTCCTTGTGCCTGGTGAAATCGATGACAAATTCTTGAGGATTAGGCTGAATGCGGCGCTCATGTGCACTCTGTCAAGGCTTTTTAACACAGCGGTAAAGGGGATTATTTCACCTGCTGCTATGGTATGGTACGCCTCGGGGGAAACGGTGTCTGTTTGGCGTGGTAAGCCTTTGTGTACGAGAGCAGCCGTTTTGCGCTAATCCCACCAAGTGGCTCCCTGCTGTTGGAAATCTTTTGTTTACCGTTTAGTTTTCGACTCGATCTCTTTTCTTCTTTCACCAGGATGCACAATAAAGATCAAACCCCCCATGCATCACACTTGTGCTGACTGTAGGCCACTACAGATTTACTGACATGAGCCTCAGCAGTGCTGGGCCTCAACAGTGACGCACAAACTATAGACAACATTGACCGGCGTGAGATGAAATATACACTCAAATAAAAACATGCCGTATCAACTGTACATCATTTTGGTGGATGCTCAGCTTTCACTGCATGTTCGTTATGCCATAGTACCATTAAACAGACAGACATACTACTAAATTGCTTTGCCAAATATGTTTTGGAGGAAAGATATAACTTCAGTGGCAACATGTTTTCTAATCCAGAAAGCGTGACATCTTTCACTGCAACAAAGTTTAATCAAAGGCATCAGGGTTGATTGTTGGGCATATAAAGCAAAGAACTTTGACATTGAGACTACGTATTACAGCGAGCCATATCGTGTTGGGTTTGGGCTCCTAAAACGCTTGGTTACGGTTGGTTGAAAGAGTTTTGGATAAATTGTGAAAAAGTCAATCATGTAAAATCAATCAAAAAGTTGAGTTTAACTTCAGCAATTGATATGTTCCCCCGTATTAACGTTTCCTCATTATGTTTAAACAGAACATGATCTGAGCTTCATTACGTTTCCAGCTAAACATTCTCTATATGAAATTAGCTGTATATGAATGGCATTTATAAGTGACGGTTGTTTGCAGACTTGCTAGCGTGATAGCACTTTTATTCGTCTGGTGTAACTAATCCATATTTCTATGTGAACAACGGATCAAATTACAATGAGTAGTGCGAAATGTTTGGCTTGTAGTGAGAAAAGGATCATTAAACTCTGGAGTTTCCCTTTAGCTCTATGGAGGGTGTTTGCATCTTTCAGCTCAGTCTTTTGCTTTTACGGTTTTGGTTCAGGCAGCTGTTTTCAGGGAGAAAAAACTCAATTTTAAATTTCGAAGCACTTTCCCCAAGCACTGTGTTGATCCACTCTTGAGCTTTTTCAACAAACAAGTGATTTTGTTTTGAAGATGCTCAGCTCAACTATCTAAAGTACCATCACTCTCCCTCTCAGGCTTTCCCTTTGTTCCTAAAGGATTTGGTTGGAGCCTCAGACCCACAAGGACAGACTTTCCAGCTATTAGGAAATAAACATCGTTGACATTCTGTTTCGTTCATCCCTGCTGATCTCCTGGGATTGCCCGAGACACTCTGATAGCACTCTGCCTTCAACTGAAAGGAGGAGATAAGGTCAACACAGATGGGCATGGCGACAATCCTGCAAGTCTTAAGCGACATCAGTATGAGAAAGACGCCCAAATGGTTGCCTCCCCGCCCATCTCTTCCTGTGAAAAAAGTTCCAGGGAAACAGTGAAAGGAAACTCTGCTTATTAAAGTGGAAGCAAACATGAGGACTGAAGGATGATAGAAAGCTAGAACTTCTGCTCAGTCTCGACTTGAAAGCCCTTAACTTAGGCAAGGCTGAAAAGGAACTAAGTTCAAGTTTTAGAGTTTTTAAATAAAACCGGGGCAACCATTACACTTTAAGTTTCAGTAAGGCTTCAATCACACCAAGACGTTTAAAGTCTCTGCCATATTTTTATTTTTTTTCGATGATGTCAAATACATGTCATGCTCGGAGTGAGAGGTGAACAACACCTCGGCCCGATCTGAGAGGTCAGACTGAGCTGCAATGTCAGAGGTGCGACGTGAACAGCAATTGAGACACGAATGTGTACGTGGATGGTATAAAATCTCCTCTGACGTGACATTTTAGCTACAGGTATGAACGTGGCCTTTTGAAGGTGGGGTTTTTAAAGACACCATAATTGTTGAACAG